AAGATAGATATACAATATGTTATAAGCAAGAATGAGCAATATAACCAAAAAGCAATATCCTAGCAATGAGATATATGGTGAATTATATGCAAGGATATATAAACTAATACAAGGGAAAATAAACAATCTACAAATGTGATAGGTCAATATGAAGAGCAATACATAAAGGCGATATAAGATATGAATACAAGGATAGGTACGCCAATACAATCACAAACAAAACGATATGATCACGGAGTTCGGTCTAACCACTTGACCTACGTCTCCGCTCCTCACCTCGAGGAGATCTCCACTATCACAATCGGGTTTTTAACACTTACCCGAATAACGTTTATACCTCATACTCGGTTTTCTAGCTAACTAAAAACTTTACAACTACACACTTGCAATCACACTCTACACGCTCTAAGTATTGGCCTAGTCCGTATCCTCCTCCTCAAGTGCCAGGATGCAACCTCTCCCTAGGTTCGTCAACCGACGCCACTCCTATTGGATTCGACCCCGTTTCTCACCACACACTACTCTCGGTGTACAAGTGTATTACAAGTGATACTCATAATATAAATTCAAATACAATGTTTTATTCTCTATAATGAATGAGAACACAATGTAACTCACTCGCAATGATCACTCCCCACAACCCAAATATACAATATGTGTAAAATACTAAAGCTTAATGGTTGTGTGTGCAAACAATGAGAAACAACAAAACCAAATATAAACTCAATATAAATCTAGCTTAATGAAGATAATAATCAATGACAAATATAAATGCAGAGCTAGAATTGAGTTTAGAAAAACTTCTCTAGAACAAGAGAGATGGAGATGTGAACTTGAAAGTTCAAACCCAAGTTGATCTCCTCTTCTTGTGAAACAATCTTCACAAACCCAATTTTGTAAACAAACACTTAAAAAAACTTAAACCCTTGTAAAAACTTGTTTAAAACATCTCTTGGGTTATCATGAAAGATGACAGCAATGGGGTATTTATACCCTCTCAAAACATCAGCAAAAACCCCAAATAAAAGACCAAAAAGCCCTTAGAAAATCTTAGCTGGAAGTAGCCGTTGGAGTCTGAAAGACAGTTCGGCGGTCGACCGTACTGTAGCACTATAGACCGCACTGGTCACGGACAGTTTCTGATTTTGACAGCTTCTGGAAATTTACGTATCTGACTTTGTAAGATCAATTAAAAATAGTAAATAAACTCTAAAAACCATGAAATTTTTAGAAAAGGTTCTAGACATGTAGATAAACATGTTAGAGGAAGCATTTCTAAAATATCATTTCCTAGTTAAGAGAAATAACTGTTTGAACACAGATATACAGTTTCTGAAAAAACTGCTAAAAACTTGGTTTTGTAAATTCAATTGAAAATAACAAAACAACTCCAAAATTAGTAAAAATTGGGAACATGTTTGTATATATGAAGATAAACATGTAAACAAAGAAAATTTTCAAATTGCATTTCCCAATTGTGAAAATGTATCCGTTTTGCAAAAACATGCACGAACATGTGCACAAACATGAGCTTATTAAAAACTTGATTTTGTAAATTCAAATAATCATAACAAATTAATTTCAAAATTGATAAAATTTTGGGAAACATTTATAAATATGAAATTGAATATATTAGAAAAGGAATTTCTCAAATTGAATTTCCCATTTGTGAAAACTCATGTATTTTGCAAGTGTGTCTAAAACATGAAAATGTGATATACATAAAATTTGATATTTTGACATAAACAATATTTTGAAATCCTATGAAATGATTTTATAGACTTAATGAAATATGTATACAATGATTGTTAAATCCATAAACCAAAACTTGTGTATATATATAACTATATATATAAAAACCAAATATGTGTGTGTATATATGATTGAGCTTAAAGTACTAACACACATAATATAAAACCTAAACTAAATATACCCAAGCTTGATTGATCTTCGATGTTGCTCAATCTGGTACACTTAATGATGAAGCTAGAACTTGGATCTTTAATTTGAATTGCATAGGCTTTACTATACAATTCCGCCAAGCTCCATTGGATATGATCATGAATGTTTAATTTTATCCATCCTCTAACATGTTATTTATCTATAATAAATAGATAAGTACAAACACTAAACAAACAATATTAATGGTAAATTGTTTGTTAAACATCATCAAAACAAAGAGGCCAACACAGTAGTCATGTCACTGGTTGTAATCTTCCGAAGATCATCCACTAGAAGTGTCATTCTAGTCTCATCCATCGTTAAATTATCTCACACAAGCATCAGTATTTCCACTAGGTTCTCATAAGACTTCGGCAGAGATAGAAGTAATAGAAGCGTCTGATCCTCATCTTCAACTGTCACGTCTATATCCTTTAAGTCTGATATTATCCTATCAAACTTATTGATGTATTCCCGAATTGATGAGCCCTCCTCCATCTTACAAGTATACAATTTAGATTTTAAATAGATCTGATTTGTTAGACTCTTCATCATGAAGGTACTTTCTAACTTCGACCACACGCCCGCAGTCGTTTCCTCTCCATCTACCAAGAAAGCTACATCCCTTTCAAGGCAAAGGATAATCGATGCCCGTGCTTCCAGATCCAGCTTCTCCCAATCCTCATCAGACATATCCTTATGCTTCTTCTCTTTTCCAGCCAAAGCCTTGTGTAATTTTTACGAAATCAACAAGTTTTTCATCTGCATTCTCCAATAGGAAAAATTATTCTTCCCATTGAACTTTTTAATCTCGTATTTTTTAACTTTAACTGTTTTGCTAGTTGACGCCATCCTCCACTTGTATTAATAAATCCGCTTCTTTCAGGAAATTGCTGAGCACCACCTCAAACCAAAAGCTATATCACTCTCAATCTGAATAACAACTCTGATACCAATTGTTGGGCGCAGAGTCACACCCTCACGTCGCGGAAGCAATATAAGCCGAGAGAGAGCTCTGGTTTTTATTTTCACAAAAGCTCAAGTCAACCTTTATATTCCCGTTTTACAAAGGAAACAAGAATAAAAAGTAAAATATCTCAATAAAGTGCAATATACACTCTTCCTCTCATCAGTTTTAGGACTGGCTTGTCGAGGGAACCTGTAAGCAATAGCCAACATCTAGAAAACAGTAAAGACACGAGATTTACATGGTTCGATAAACTTGCCTACGTCCACGGGAAAGATGGAGGGGAGATTTCACTATGAAAGAGAACACCGACGACTTGTACAATTCACAAGCTCGTCTCAAAGATAAAACTATGATTTTTACCCAAAAAAAATTAACCTCTCTCTTGTAAAATCTCTCTAAGCTCTCTTTTTTTCTCTTCAAGATCTCAGATCTAAGCCTCCTGAAAAACTCCTCAAAAAAGGCCAACTAAACCCTCTGTTTTCTTCTCTATAGCTGAAAAAACCCTCCGTTGTTTTTCCTCACACAGCCGCAAAAAAAACCCACTGCAAAACTCTCGAAGAAGGGATATAATAAGAGAAGAATCGGACCTGGGTTGTCTCGGGTGTGGCCTAATTATTTTGGGAGATACATGTATTGCTATACATGTATCTCGGGTGGGCTCTGGGCCCGCTGCACATGTCCACACTCATGGGTGTGACCCTCATGTTCACAATTAATTGTTGGGCGCAGAGTCACGCCCTCACGCCGCATAAGCAATATAACCCGAGAGAGAGCCATGATTTTTGTTTTCACAAAAACTCAAGCCAACCTCTATATTCCCGTTTCACAAAGAAAACAAGAATAGAAAGTAAAATATACATTCTTTCTCTCATCAGTTCTAGGACTGACTTGTCGAGGGAACCTGCAAGTAATAGTCAACACCCAGAAAATAGTAAAGACATGAAATTTACGTGGTTCGGTAAACTTGCCTACGTTCACGGGGAAGGGGGAGGGGGGGGGGTTTTAGGGGGGGGGGGGGGAGATTTCACTATGAAGGAGAACACCGACGACTTGTACAATCCATAAGCTCGTCTCAAAGATAAAGCTATGATTTTTACCCAAAAGAAACTCTTTTGTAAAATCCCTCCAAACTCTCTTTTTTTTTCTCTTCAAGATCTCAGATCTAAGCCTTCTGAAAAACTCCTAAAAAACAGACTAAACCCTTTGTTTTCTTCTCTGCAGCCGAAAAAAACCTCTGTTGTTTTTCCCCACACAACCGTCAAAAAAAACCCACTACAAAACCCTCGAAGAAGGGATATTTATACAAGAAAAATCAGACCTAGATTGTCCCGAGTGTGGCCCAATTTTGGGAGATGCATGTATTGATATACATGTATCTCGGGTGGGCCCTAGGCCCACCGCACATGTCCACACTCGTGGGTGTGACCCCCACGTTCACAAGTTTTATCTCAAAGCTTGATAGAATTAACTCTAATCCAGTTCTACGGAGTTTGTCAAATTGACTATAAAATTTTCGGAGCCTACTTTTGCTTGTATTTTATTACAGACACCACTAGAATTACCGGCGTTTGCTTGTATTTAGTATTTAAGACACCGCTGGGACAATAGTTTTGGATTCACCACTGCGTAGTCCCACCCGAGTGTAATTATAACGCTAAAGTTATAATTAGAGGAGGACACCTCGAGACCGTACAGAAAAACCAATGGGGACAAAAATTCTGGACCCACTAACGCGTCGTCCCACCCTAGCGTGGTTTTAAAAGATACTTTAGGAGACGTTGAATTGGATTTAGTGAGCTAGTCTCAAACATCAAAAGCCCAATTCAAAGTTAAATGGACTTCTATCGAACGGTATATCGCTTTTGATGGGGCCAACCCATAAATTTCAGTCCATGGGGCTGAAATTTTGCAGCCCACCTGAACCGGGGTAGCGGGCTCAAGTTCTGTAATGGATCCAACTTGTACAGCATCCGGACAACATAAATTAGCGTTAACGGGTCGGGCAGAGGTACATCCAACGTCTCTAGCGTGTCCTCAGAAATAAATGACCAAATAACGTAACATTTTCCGACAATTTAAGACACGCAACAGAGAGAGGGAGGGAGAGGGAGAGACGAACCAAACAAAGTGAAACTAAAAAGGGCAAAAAATCGAAAGAAAATGACGAAATCGGCGACGGAGAAGAAAAGGATCCGGCGTTCCCCACAGAACGGCGGAGGCGGCAGTAGCAGACATCTAGACGCCAATTCCTCCTCGAAGGTACGATCAGTTTCCATAAACTTGTTTCTTTTCTTGAATTTTTAGGGTTTTGATGCCAAATCTGGCTTGTTTTGCTGTGAATTGAGATTGGGGTGTGCTTGGGTTTTAATGCACGATGTTTGGAATTGAATGCGCGGGTAATTGTGGGCTAAAACCGTGAAAACCCAATTTTCTGTTTGAAATTTGAATTTTATTTTTGTTGGCGATCTTATAGTCTTTCTAGGCTCGATTAAGGATATAAAAAATTTTGAAAATTTTTGTTTTATGCGGAATTTTATAACACTAAACTAGTTATATCTTGCTTGAAGGTTGGGGAGATCACTGTAAAATTTCTCTTTGATACTCTTGAGAGTGTAGATGTCGCATGTCTATGTGTAGCCTTTGGTGGGGAAAAATATACCTCTACACGATAATGCTATCGAAAGAGGGTATCTTGTTTACATCCTCAAAGTACATGCACTGGCTCGATGTTTCATCTGATTTAGTTTATGAATCACTGATTGTCCAACGGTTTAAGTTCATGTACTGATGTGAAAGCTTGTCTGTACAATTAAATTTTAGATGTTTTATCGAATATAATTTTTAATACAAAGATCATGAGTACGCTATTAAAATTTCTGCTGAAGGATCTCAGCATTGGTGAGCTAGCCTTGATGCTTATCAGAGAGTAGAGATTGAATTTTTCGGATGCATCATATGGATCCACTGGGATAAAGATTAGATCTTGCTAAAGTTATGCTATCCAAAGATATGCCTTCTTTTCTTTGAGTTCTCAGTCCCAAAGTACATCCATCAGCTTGAAGTTTCTTTCTTTAGAGGATTTAGGTTTGAATCCTTTTGTTAACCTGTTAACCACTGTTGCTTAAAAGCTTCTCCACCTTCTTTAGTTCCCATGCTCTTTATCATCCATCTGATGCTGCCTCCAGCAACAGTATCCAGCTGCTGAGTCTTGTCAGACATTTTGCCTGTTGAAAATGCCCCTTATCATTTTCCCCATGCTCCTACTTGCTGCTAGAAGGCCTATTTTTGTCTCTTGCTCTTCTCTTTAAGGCTACTGCCAGTTCCAGATAATAATTTCTTATTGGTGGTTCAGCATCTCCAAGGTGTATATTTAGCTTACTTTCAAAAGGATTCATTGGTTATGACTTGGCGGTTCATTTTGTTAAATGAAATATCAAGAGATGAAGAATTGTGAGAACTGCACATCAGATGTGGTGCAGGAGGATCTCTCCCTTAGACCCTCTCTTGATAACTCAGCCGCAAAAAATGTTAGCCACCTCATACCCGTTTTCCTTTTATATACTATGCAATCATGGGCTGTTTTAGTTTGAGTGAGAATGAATGTTTTATTTCCTTCTAATATTTTAGTTAATAGGTAAATTTAATTTGTTGATTCTTGTAAGATTTTGAAAGTTATAATGCATTGTTGCATAATTCTCTTATGTCATTGTTTCTATGAACTCAAAAATTTATGAAGTCTATATTTATTTGTTTTGGAATTGAATTTTACACTGGGAATATTGAAAATGTCAAATTTATGGCTCAGTATATGCAATTGGTTTACTCTCTTATTCCATTTACTTTTATGAGCCCTTCTGAATAAAATCTCTCTCTTGTTGATTGTGCTTTAGGAAGGTTTGATATACATTAATTCCAATATATGTAGCGAGCACTTTAAAGCCATCAGCATATGGATGTTATGCTTGCTAACTTCTGTGCCTCTGTTTGATTGGTTCCAAGTGCTACACTATTTTGTAAGATCTCAATGAAAAATTTAGGAGAACATCTGACACAGGTTGATGCTCACTTACTCTATATTGTCAAAGATGGTCACTGTTCCTTCTCATAGTTTAGTCACACGTGAAGGTTGTAGCCAGTAGTATATTCATATAACTGTTGAACAGTATCTTCTGTGGTAATTGCTTTAATAATCCTTACCTTAATTTTCTCCCTAAGATTTTGCAAATTTGGAACCTGCAGAAATCAGCTACACAAGAAGATGTCTATCAGGTATTTGCTGAGAAGGTTAGAGACAATAAACAACTGGAATCCAGATGGGCAATTATGCAAGAAGCAAGGGTTGAATATTTTAGAGGGAAGGACTTCACATTTTTCTTGAGAAATCACCCAGAGCTCAAAGAAATACTAGGATCCGATAAAGATCTGGATACAGAAGATATTGTGAATACTTTACTTAGGAAGAACCTTATAGTGAGATGTGACCGTGTGATGAAAACTGTTAGACCTGGGAAAAAGAAGTTGTCCTCTTGGCCTGCGCATTTGGAGATATATCATGTAAGTGCATTTTTTTATCCTTTGAATAGCATGAGATAAGTTTGATTTTGGCGTTTTTATCGTATCATTTCCGAAGATACTCATTTGTATAGTGTATGAAGCTAATATTGGATATGACTGCTTTAGGCTGTAAATTAGTTGCGTAGTTTGATATGCTATATAATGATAAGTATTATAATGAAATAATTTCCAATTAACAATTGATTACAGTATTGTTTTTAACATTTTCAGATCGTTTAGTTTGATAGTTGCGTTGATGAAGTTACATTCTTACTAGAATGTTTGTATAACTGCATTAGTGCCTATGTATTTCAATGTATCTAATAAAAATATGACTGCATGTGAGAGTTCAGTAAGAAATTTATTTCCTTTTCCAACTTTATTTTGTTAATTATGTTCTCTATGATGACTAGGTGATACTAATTTCATTTTGAGCAAGTTCATACTCGCTTTTGTTTTAACTTTTTAACGAGATGTAATAAACCTCATGTGAAAAATTAAACAGTTTAGAACAAGCTATCTATTGAATAAATTTGTTTTGCCCAGTTCCACTGATAACTATGCACTTGATTTTTAGTCATATACGGCATCTGACCTTATCAGGTTAATTTACATCCCTTTCAGTTCCCTTGGAATACAACTGATTCATCTCTGAATTTTCCGAAGTTAAATATTGAATTTGGATTTCAACCTGCATTCATTTTAACAGGTTCTATATGAGCTAAATTTTTTCCCTAAAACTGCAGTTACACATGTAGGCATGGTTAGACAATTTAACAATTAGAGGTCATTGATTCGAGCATCCGTAACACCTTTGTTCTGTAATTCAAACATGAAGCAGCTGCCTCCTAGTATTCGGGACATGTGCAGTAAACCGGGAATTTAGGTGGTAGCCTCTTCCATATAACAATTAATGTTACTCATTAAGGATTGGGTTATAGCTCAAAATGCATGCATGCTAGATTTTTATTAGTTTCTACATTAGATCAAATCACTATTACTAAGGAACATATTGCACACATTCACTAATATTTATTCGTCTATTCCTTTTTTTCTTTTTTCCTTTTTTTTGTATTTTTATTTGGTTTTTACACCTAAGTTCTTTACTCCCATAGTTGCTATATATATGACGCGGTGTATGATTGCCGTATTCTGAAGCGATGTTGAGTATCACATTCATTTATGTAGCTATATGGTCTCTTGCAAACATGCATCCTTTAGTTGTCTATATAATTCTTGATGCTTGCTTGCCAACTGTGGCATGCTGGAGTTGTAGGAGCCTGTGAGTATTAACGTAATAAGTGGCCATCTGCAGTTCTTGAATGGGCTTTCCCGCATTCTGACAAATGTATGTTGAATATTTGCACCTTTTCTATTTTTCATTTGATGATGTTGCTCAGTTGATTGATAACTGATGTTTTCTTTATTAATATTAGAACTTGATATAAAAATGAAAATTATATGGCTAATTTGTGTGGAGTTGGATACTTATCTGTCTTGGGAAAACTGAATATTTTCTTTAAAAAATGCTCTTATTTCTCCACACCAGTAGTTAATGTTCTCTCTCGTAATAATGAGCCAAAAGATTTTTATCCTGTGATACTTAATTTCATTCAAAACAAACTTATGTTTGTATCACAGTGTTTGACATTCATTGACGGATATTTGGAATATAATTAACTGCATGTCCTGTTTTATAGCACTCATTTTTGCTTATATGGTTCTCTAGGAGCAAGTGTTCTCTGAAAATGATGCTTTCTTTGCATGGGCATTTATGAAAAGACGGGCATTGTGGCAAACAATTCTTTCATTCCTCTGGCCAGTGGCAGCATTAGCAGTGTGCTTGTTTCCAGTATACCCTTACCAGGTCAAGATTGTTGTGCTCTACTCATGTGCTGGAGCGCTGCTTTGTATATCAATAATGCTTCTGTGTAAGCATACTGATACTGAAAAACACTTGATCTTCCATTTCAGTTTCTATTGGTCATTTCTTATGTTAGTAAATTAGTATAAACTAAGAAAACCGGTCCTTCCTACTTGAGAAGCCAATTTAATGAGAACACGCTAAGAGAGGGAAAAAGACATAAGTCTTGACGATGTTGATTTATATGTATGATACTATGATGTGAAAACCTTCTTTCCATGAGCCTTGATGCTTTAATGATTCACAAAGTCTTGAGTGTGAGTATTGAATGGATTATTAACATCAAATGTCTCAAAAACAGGAAAGTAGTTTGGCGACAGGGGGAACACTGCTTAAAGCACATGAGGAAGATTAACGTGTTAGTTTGGTTAATGTGATGTGTGATCACTAATCCATAATAGTTTTCACATGTTGCTAAACGTGTATACTTAATTTGGAGATTGTTCATGGCGAAGAAAGTTGCTTTCCTTAGTTAAATTGGGTGTTTCTTGTGCATACTCCAGTCTAGTGGCGTCAATGACCTGAAGCCAGTGGCTAATAATTTTCAGTTCTACTTTTAATGACTCATGTCAGATCATTGCGTCTATAGGGATTAACATCAGTATCTCAATGAGAGAAAGGCACCGGGTGCTTTAAAACTAAATAGAGCACTTCATTGAAGGCTAAGATGAGAGACATCAGTACACAATTCAAGAGAATTAGACTATCGAGTTCTCATATTTTGACTTGACTGCTTTTATGCTAATTGAACTATTAACTAAATGTTTTCCTTAAGGGCATGTACAAGTACCCTTTAGGTACATAGGCTTATTTGTAGGATTTCTTTTTTGTCCTATCATTTATAAATTATGAGTATTAAATTTAAAATTGATTTTATTTGGGTCGAAAATACCAAGCATTTTCTCTCATGTTCTTCCTCTTTGTTCATTACTTGCAGTAAGAGGTGCAGTTTTTGGTGCTCTATGGATCCTTCTTGGAAAGCGAATTTGGTTTTTCCCCAATGTTAATGCTGAAGAAACAACATTTAGAGAGCTAGTTCGGTTTTGGCCCAAGAAAGACGAAGGTGAACCACCCAAATGGACATCCAGGCTTTTCTATGCCATTGTTACTCTGCTGGTCATTCTGTTGCTTCGACATCATGCCCCTAATGAAGCTGCTAGAGCAAGGTATTGTCATTATATATACTGATAAATTTCAAAAAGCCAGTTAAATATTTATCTCAATGTCTTTCATCTTGGAGAATATATACGCATAATTGGATTGCTCCTTCGACGACAGGTACCAAAAGAGAGTTTCAAACATTATTGATGATATGCTTGAGTGGTCTCCGAAATTAGCACTATCAGGGATGAGGGATAAAACCGCAGTAGGTAATGCGACAGAATCAAGTAATCCTACATTTGAGAGTAGCAAACCTGCAAGCACGGCAGAAGAGTCAACAACTCATCATGTTGATGATGAAGATGTAGGTAATGTGAAGGTTACAACTGATGATGTTGAGTATGAAGTTGTTGATCGTGGGGTTGAGCATTCTGAAAATGTTCACACATAGAATGCATTCAACTAGCCTCACTGAAATTTAGAAAATATAAGAACAATTGTTACAGTTTACTTATTGGTTGTAGAATTTTGCTGCTTCAGTTAGAAATACTAAATATGTTTTCCTGTTGCATTTTTTATTATGATGAAGCAAATGATTAAGATTAAACTATGCCTTTGCTATTGCATCTCTTCTTTGCTTATAAAGAAGCTTAACAAAGTCCAAAGCGTGGCCTCTTTTCCATCAGATTTAAATCTATTTATGGTGCTGTCTCCTACGGCTGACTTGATTAAGATAATTTTATATATGATTATGCCCCCTCGTTGAATAAAATGTGTGCGGTTTTTCTTATTTTCTAATCATTTGAAGATCTAAATTGTAAGGTTGCAATTTGCTTCATAAAATTGCAACTCCAATTGCAAACAGTTGCGATTGACAAAGGACAATTGTAGTTTTATGTTTTTGCGAATAGACTCATTGAGTGAATTTTTTTTTCACTCTTAAAAGTGTTAGAAATGTTTGTGGAGGCATGTAGGCCCCTTTATAGTTCTATTAGTGAAGATAGATCCTCCATTACTTTCCTTTTATCTTTTACTTTCAAAATAATGAAAAAAATTTACTTAGGGGTGTCCTCATATCTGGACCAATAGTATAGGGGTCTATTTGCCACAAATAGAACTATAAGAACTCTATTCACAATTGAATGATACTATGAGGGATCTCGCAAGTAATCCTTTTTTAATTGGATGCGAGGGGAATCTTGGAAATGCACAAGGATCTCTAGTCCGGAGCCCGAGTATTATTATTATCATATATATATATATATATATATATATATATATATATATATTATATTAGAGAGAGAGAGAGAGAGAGAGAGAGAGAGATTAATGGGTATCCTTTGTCATAGAGGGATTTCCTCCTATAACGCCTCTAAAATCACATGATTGAGCGACATTGCTGATGATCCGTCCGTTGAACTTGATCTACATATTCTAAAACCCCAACACACCACAAGTTTGGGTGAACCCGTCGTCGTTTGACCTTCATCCACTCGTATCAATTTTAACAGTTTTGAATGAATAAAACTTTTCATATGGCTCGATGAAGGGTCAAACGACGACGGGTTCACCCCAAACTTGGTGTGTTGGGGTTTTAGAATATGTAGATCAAGTTCAACGAGCGGATCATCCACAATGTCGTCCAATCATGTGATTTTAGAGGCGTTATAGGAGGAAATCCCCTCCTATGACAAGGATACCATTAATTCATATATATATATATATATAATATATATATATATATATATATATATATATATTTTATATATATATATATATATTTTTAATTTATTATAATCATAATTATATCCTATCCTAATCCTATGTGAACTACTTACATGTCAATAATTTAAATTATATATATATATACTCTCTTTAAAAGTACGAGTTCAGAAAAATATTTCTATGCTCAATATTACCCTTCACTATTTTTAATATTTCATTTAAATCTTTATATATCTTAATCCTAATTATATCCTATCATAATCTAATGTGAACTACCTATAACTCAACAATTTAAAATAAATAAGATTAACAAAATACATGAAATACTTTCATGGTATTAGTTTGTTATTTTAAAGAACTAACATGCTATAATATATGAAATATTACAACATAATCCAAAAAGTTTAAAATTACACAAAATACCCTCAAAAGTTTAAAATTACATAAAACATCTTGATGTTTTAAAACTTAAAATAAAAAAATATGAAATCTGAAAATTAACAGTAGCCTTTGAAAATTTTAAAATTTGTAATTAACACCCTCAACATTCAAAAAATTGTATAAACACTCTCAAAAGTTTGAATAATAAAAAAGAACCTTAAATTTTTGGAATTTTAAAACTTGCAAACAAAAAAGATGAATTCAAGGGATTACCGTCAGGCACCTGAAAATTTAAAATATATAAAAAATAACATCAAAGTTATAAAAACTATAAAAAAACTCCTTCAAAAGTTAAAAATCACAAAAGCCCTAAAATCTAAAAACACATAACCAGTACATATCAAATCTGGAAATTATCAGCAGACCACTGAAAATTTGAATTTTACAAAAAATGATCCAAATTTTTTATAATTGTAAAAAAACACCTTCAAAATTTCAGAGTTGCAAGAAATATCCTGACATCCGAACACTTACCACCACTACATGAAACATAAAAATTACAAGGACTCAACTTAATATTGAAAATTTTCAGCACCCTCAGAGTTTCAAAATTTGCAAAACACACCTTTAAAAATTCAAAATCACGAAACAAGACTAAAATTTAAAAACCTAGTAAATAAAAGAATAGTTGTTTGATATTCTTTCATTAAGATATATACATTTAACTTTAAAGTAAGGTTTACTATCCTTTTTCAGCATCTAAATGTCGTCTAATTTTATCAAAAAAGATAAAGATGGAGAATGATTAACGTCGACTCAGTAAAAAATAAAACAAAAGGAATGAAAGACACCATTTTCTGAATATTTTATAAAATAGTTTTTAAAGTAAATTATGAATCTTTAGAAGCAGTTTTCATGATTTTAGTGCTTTTATATACTTATGTGGATGCTTTCATCATATAAAAGTATACTTAAGTTAGCATTAATCTTTAATTTATGATTTTTTTAAAGTTTATTAAGGATTAGGAACATACTCCAAATTCTCTTCTGTGTCGTTTTAGCCCACTTTTAACCAATCATCTTGTCTTATTAGCTTTAGTTGTTTGTCTTTCTTTTATAATGTTATTTTTTAAATGTTTTTTTACTTTTGCAACACTATACTTTCTCAAGTTAATCTTGATTTCATGTCGGTCCAAATAACATAATAATTCAAATTGGTTTCGGATTATATTTTTTTCCTGTTAATTCAATTATCAACATGGAAATTTAAATTAGGTGTAGCTCATTTAAACAAACATCAAAGAAAATAATAATCACAATGCTAAAGTTTAGAGACATAAATGAGCAAAAACCATCAAAGTAAAATTGATGAACAAATTTTAGTAAGGAAATAAACTAAAATTACTTAATCATGGTATTTAATCACGTGCATTGCACGTACATAAAACCTAGTTATTATTATAAAGACGGGTCACTATCTCAAAACAATTAAGCAACTTGTAATTGTTCTTGTCTTTTACCATTTTCAACCAGTTTTGTAGTTATAATATCTGGTATAATAAAGAGTCTCGTGAAGTAAGAAATGTGAACAATGAAGTTCTCGTTCAATATATTCTTGCATCAAGAAAGCAGTAGCTTCCACGAGAAAATGTGTATAATGAAGTTCTGTGAAACATATGAAAATGAGGTACCTTTCACAGGAGAAATTCGCATAATGAAGTTATTGTACAACATAAAAATTTCCTCACATTAATTTATTAGGTTGCCTAAAGAGTCTTAAACGCATAAAATTCTTAGTTTTCAGTGGGAAAACCTTGAAGCTGAAGGATGCTCCCAAATATTTTGATAGAGATAGTTGCAGGTTTGCAGCGTGTTGCACATTCTGCTAAATTTGAGACAATTAGATAAATTAATTAAGACAAAAATGTCTCTGTCAACTATTTGTCCTTGTATCAGACATCAACATGATCACAGGGCATGGCCTCTTTCAAAGGAATCATATGTCAGAGGATGGTTCCAAATCTGCTAGATTCTAATGCTTCAATTATAAAAATAATGCTAGAGACATACCATGAACCACACTCTCAACCACACCCCTACACTCTCTATAGTGTTAGTGGGCCATGCATGATATTTTTTAAAAAATATCATGCATGGCCCACCAGCACTATAGAGAGTGTAGGGGTGTGGTTAAAAGTTTGGTTCATGATGTGCCTCTAGTGGGACTCCAATTATAATTCTGAATCCTTCAAAAAAATGAAGCTTTACGTGATGCGAGTGCTAGCGTTTATGATGTTGGAAATTTATCAAATAATTAAGATTATAGCATGCAGATAAATCCGAAAAATAAACAATTAAAACTGGCCTGATCGGGAGCAGTCGTGTATTCACTGCCCTAGAAGATTGAGAACCCGCCTATCGCCCTGGCGCAGATGGTTCCCTCCCCCCTAGCGGTAAAAGCCCCCGGAAACAGCCGGCCTCTGCACTCGGGCGAGAGTGCAGAGCTTCAGCTCAAATGAAGGAAGTTGCCTATAAAATAAAACTAAGATGTAGATGAAAATAATATGTAGGGGAGAGAAGAAAAACAAGAGAAACTTGTTGTATATTTTTTCTTATCATTTTGAGCTCAACATACGAATATATATATAGGGTTGGAAAATACGTTACAAAACCCGTAATTAATTCCGTAACGTTCGTCATAAATTTTATAACGTTCCCCATAATTATATAGTCGTTACACATATTTTTAGTTGCTAATTAAAACATGTTTTAATTATAAAATTTTATTACTATTCATGAAGGAAAAATTATCTTTTCTTAACAAAATATCTAACAGTCCCCCCCAAAAGGCAATATTGACTGAAGACTCAGAAATCAATAAATAAATCAAGAAATCATAAAACAAATATAGGTTGGGCAACCTTTCGTATCGTGAATTCGGGAGAGGTAGCTTCCGGCTTTGAACCTTTCCTTAGTGAGTTCATCGCCACCTGAGGGACATAATGGACTAGGCCTTGAATTAGGCCCCTTTAATCAGGTATTGATGAAAACACACACAATACGTTTCATCTATTGAGCAAAGCGGGTTGAGCGTTAAAGGCCATGCTCACAATAAACCGACTCATGAGAGTTTCTAGGGGTTAGCCCAGCCCCCCCTAACCGCGGCCATCACGGTTCCTCTCACGTAGGTAAATTCTCAAAGGGTACTACAGCTGTTTATTTAATACCCCCCATGATACACACGTTGAACTTATTAAGAGTAAAACTCAGCCTAGCCAGCTGTATCATAAGAGCATCGTCATTATAGAGAAGGGGTAGTAGCACAAGCTACATAGTGATATATGAATATATTTGGGTCGATGCTCCACACGAGTGTCACTAGTCCAACTTGTTTCTACCGCATTGAACCAATATTGGGACTACGTCTCCAAATAAGGGTTGGGTTGCCGCTGTCAGTGACCTCATCTATGGGCTTAACCCCATCTCCCTCGATGAATCTAG